ATCAGTACTTGGAGAGATACGCCATCTGATAAAGCTGGTTGTGCCTGGTCTGCGAAACAGTAAACCAACTCGGCACAGATATCGGAACAAACTTGCATTCCGACCTAATTGATTATGCAAATCCATAAAATAAATTCCTGAAACATTAGTTTGGTACTGGGGAGTAAAACAAGCGAAAAAGTTTGGTTCTAAAACTAAGGGAAGTTGCCTTTTTTCTCAGAGCCACTGTTAGGTTATTGAAAAGCCAATCACCCGAGCGTTGCAATTTTTACAGGTTATGGGAGGGCAGTATGATGTGCAGCGAAATTAAAAAGCTATAGACATAGGGTTTTATAAGCACCTAAAAGAAATGCATACGCGATGGGTTCTGGTGAAAGGACTCGAATAACAGAATCGCATGTTAATTGCTTAACGTCAGTCTGTTTTTTTGCTTCGAAATATTCGGGTCAATTTAAAGTGGTAAACTATTGTCCATTTTACATAGTCATTGTACATGCTTTTCATATCGCATTGATACAGTAATGAAGTAGATAAACTTCATTGTACGAACAGAGTTCTTCTGGAAAATATGTTTCCTTAGAAGTATTTTTCAAACGGGACTATTATTGGTTTACTGAAAGATCTTACAATTCATACAGTTTTAAACTCCGTCAGCTTCCTTGATATTTTACTGGGTTGTTTAGCTCCATGTAGTGTGCTTTAAATCCCCTGAAGTAATTTGCCAGTTAAAGAAATTTTGATAAGGCTATGTGCTTGTCACATTTATTAGCGTTGTAGGTTGTTTAATTATGGTTGCAAACAGTGGAATGAATTAATAATCATACAAATCCCAAAGGCATCAGAGTTGAAATCACTTTTTAACGTAAAATGAGCAATTTAAAAAGTATTTGTGGAAGAGGCGATTGTTTACAAAACGTAAGTATGAATTGTGATTACTATTCATTTTCAGAAAAAATGTTTTGGGAGAAGCCAAATTCTACACCGATGCCGTGTGTCTGCAAATTTACGTTGGCTTCATGTTATTCAATCGGAAAACAACATTGAGGTTATTCATATATATTTCGAAGAAGGTTGAAGCGTGTAATCCAGTGCTTCCCAAGTTCGTTTGTTTTTGTCTTTGTCTTTAAAAGTTTTTTAAGACAGTCTCAAAAGTATAAAAGTGTTTACGCAGATACATCACTTTTTATGATATTTTGATTTACTTTAACCACTATGTGCAGCCTGGAATAGAAAAGTGAGCCTTAGAAACAGCCTCATCTAGTAGCACTACAATAATATATGCATATATGTTAAGGACACACTATTCGTCGGTAAAGTTGGACAGATGATGGCACCGAATAAACCTGTTTGACATAACGTAAGATTATCTGGTGGACTGTTTTGTTTAATTGCAGGACGATCAATTTACCTGCAGGAGGTGCCGGAATATCTAAGGTTGGATTTGACCTAACTATTGAGAGCAAAAATGTTTATTCACAAATACGAACTTGAACTCCTTGCTTTTCATGCCAATATGGCAGCCATATACGTTCTTATACGGCAGTTGTTTCTTCAGAATTATCTATGCCCGGATAATTTTTCAAGGGTTTCGTTTGTCAATAAAAAAAATCAAATTGGCCTCGAAAATTCGCATCAGAATTCAAACAAGCGAAACATGTCAGCCAGCATATTATTTTAATAATTTAACACGGAACCCAGAGTTGATTAGGTTTGTTGTGCAAAATGCGGCCACTCCACTGGAATGAGCAAGGCGTATCTCAAATAGTTGTGTTTCAAGTAAAGCTAGTGAACGTTCAGCCAATGGAGTTCGTCTAGCTGTCCTCCAAATGAGCCAGTGCCTTGCAAAATAACAGACCGATGTAAAAATTCTTCCTTTTTTGTCATATCGGTAAGGAATGCACTCTTTATTGTCTTCCAATCTGCCTGAATCGTAAAATACAGGCTCCAAAATATACTGCCCAAAAGCTGTTTTTTGAAGATACTGATCTCCCTAAGGGTAAAATATAGATAAATATTTGCACACGTTAAAAGACTAACCAAGAGAATAATGTTTACAGTGTCAACAAAAACAAAAACCCGTTTCAGTGTGCACTGTCATGTTCTCGGACAATCTTCTTTGATGATTCATTGAGATATTGTGCTTTTCATGATCAACGATCTGACGTGCATTGTAAAAAGTGCGCTACGTTGGAAGCAAACATTTGAGTTCGACATATGCGTGAGTAAATAAAAAAAACACTAGATAAGCACTGGAGAATTCTTTTAACTTTGGTTGATCTTTTCAACGTGTGCGGAAGTCCATCTTCATAAATAACAACAGCAACACGATAAATGATATGCATAGGGGTATTACCAATTACTAATCCGTGCCGCCGTTTCGGAGGTTACTGTGTAAGATTCTGTGTGCCGACACGGATATTCTGACTGTGCTCTCATCCAAGGTACAAGTTTTAATTAACTTTTAGCCTGAAATATTTTCAGGAGTGGACAATTTTCGTGGTTTCCGTGACCTTTGACACGTGACCCGTTTCGAATCTGTGGAGAGCCTCCTGTGATACTTCGTTACCCAATCGCACCGTCAGGCTATTTCCGCATATGCGCGATCCAAGCATGCGATTGGACTGATCTGTATAATTACAAGGACGGTTTGGACACGGGATACAATAAAATATCTTGGGCTTTTCCCTGGTACTTTATTTATCCTCTCCCCTGTATGGTGGCCTTAGGTGGACCTGCAATTCCAACACCTGGTCCCACAACAATGCTTTCGGTTGTCTCCGCTGTGTCCTCAGTATATGGCAGTGCATGTCAGATCCTTGCCAAGGTTTCTGTTTGGCACTTAGCGGACCAACACATAGTCCTTAAAATATAAACGCCCTCGGATGGTTATTTCGAGTTGCTGCAGTGCCCCAACGGCTTGGCATAAACCATTTACGACTTACGATAATTGCAAGCTTTTGCCAATTATTTTTCATGCAACACTCCAGTTTGGTTTCTTTTAGGTAATGTATATTCGTTCGGGCATTTTGGATTCTTTGTTAAATTAGTTCACCACATCAATTAAATCCTGTAATAAATGAAGGAAATGTTCGCCTAGCACACTAGTCCAGTGCTATTACAAATGCAAGTTTCACTTTATGTAGTTTTTACCGTCAGTGAAGGTAGAGCAATTGTGAAGCGTGTCTATGGAAAGCGTCAGTATACTTCGAACAAGACATTCCTAGAGCTCCTCAGGGTAAGCTGGACATATCGTAGTATCCGTTTGATACCACGCCTGCAAAAATCCTCTTGCGCTCTTTTATTAACATTCAATACTCAATTAGAACGTCTTCCCGCCTTCAATACTCAATGAGTGCTTGGGAACTAAAAAGGATGCAATGACAGAGGCAACCTTAATTATTAATTTTTAATGTTATTGCGCCTCAGATAATGGCTAATGCGTTAGCATCTAGACTTTAATTGTATGCGCACATTAGACGACGCAAGCATATTTGCCGAATGACGAACAGCGTGCTTGTGCCCTTTGTAAATTATATATCTCTAAAACTGTACCGCAGAGATATAAATCAAACGAAACGCTTTTTCACGACAACTTATTTAATTATTTAATTTCCCTGGGAGTGTAGTGTGCGATAAAATAAATGATGGCAGTGGGCGTCGTTATGGCTTTTGGAGCATGTACTCTAGCTGATACACAAATATGAATCCTAAGAGTAAAGGAAACATATGCTCTTCTAAAAAGAGCATGCTTACCCACAACTTCACATAATTAATGCTGACGGGCGCTACTTTTATTTGGATTAAGACTGTCTTTATGAAAAATATGCTCCAGCGCGCAGAGGTGGGCTTAAAGTGATCACTCGAATCTAAGGCAACGTGAAGTTCTACCAAAAAGTGTTATGCCTCGTTAAAACCACTGATTATAAGAGTATTCTGCTAATAGTTTTTGTGCGCATCATTCGAGATACCCGAGTTGATGAAATACGGCGCTTGTTTATTGACGCAAAACGTCAATAATTGATGTCTTAGACGCATTCTAAAGTCGATCTGGTAAGGATATGGTGTGCAGTCAGAATAAGCTTTGTCGCACAAAACTCGATAATATATTTATTTAACCAAAGGTTATTCAATTAAATTCTTCCTCGGGTTAGAGTTGGGGTTGGACCTTAAGTTAAAGTGAAGATTATGTTTACATTTAATGTTTGGGGTGGAATAAATGCTAGGATTATAGTTATCTGTGGTTGACCCCAACTAAATACCATATCCTTGCCGTTTGATTGTTTTTCCCATCCACTTTTCGTAAGATTACAACATAGGAAACTGGGATAGCATTCGTGGAAAATGCATTATCTTTCACAAAGAACTTAAAAACATATTTCCGTTAGATTAGTATTGCATAGATACACAGGAGTTGCACGTAAACTACCCCCACCCGCATCGTAAATGGACGATTACTTAAACGATACTTGTACTCTAGTCTATTTATTGTGAGTGCAATCCCAAAGGGCGGAATGCGATTTTAATCTCACCAGATAAAAGGAACTAACATGTCTGCTACTTAACGATTTTCTTTCCACATGTGCCCTTTGACTTCCTTAACCTGCCTTCACACCTTTTGAGTATATGGTTCTACTGACGATTACGGCCAACTGCGTCGTCCTTGCAATGGAGCGTCATTTTCCAATGAATGACAAATCACGCCTAACGGAAGCACTGGTATGTTCTTATATCATAAAAAAGTGGCCTTCTATATTAATGATAGGAACATTCTCATTAAATTTACGTTTTCAATGGTACACCCTGTGTTTAATTGACTGAAAGGCTATGCATACTCTGCGGCTTATATTTGCTCGTACTTTTATATTAGCTTAATACAATTGGCGCTTGGCTAACCTGATTGCCGGAGAAGTCAATATCTTTCCGTGTTCTCGAGGAGCTCCAAAGTTTGCCATTCAAAAAAATGTGCGCCGTAGTCAATATTCAGTACCTTAGAATGAAAAATCACAAAAACTAGTGGGAGAGGGGTGGGTAAAAAATAAGGCTGGCGTTTTTAATATTCCTTCTGCACCATTGGTTTGGAATCGAACTTCTATATAGCTTCCTAATTTCTATTCATACATTTCTGCATAAAATGCTTACTGTAGACTAGAAAACGTAATTGAGGGGAAATGGTATGCCTTAAGAAGGCAGTTGCCCAACAACAGTCTTGACCAGTGTTTGTGATTAGAACATATATGAACTTATAAGTTGCATATGGTTTGGAGACCGTGTGATGGTACCCAGATTTGCCACTCCAATCTCTGAGGCGGTTGTATATCAAAGTTCAACAGTGAACTTATTGCAGTATTAGTGAAAATATAGATGGGGTTTCTTTGTCAAGTGTGTTTTTCGATGCTTTATACCGTTGCTTAGTTACTAGGGAGTTGGCCTGGACATTAAACGTGACTCAAAAGTACAAAGAGGACCGTGAGGATTTACTTTAGAGTCAGCATATGTGAAAATTTTGAAGACGGTTACTCTCACATTTGACGAAAAAATGTAAGGTGGAAACCAGCCACATAACCCTACAATGGTACATTTACTTACTGCAAGCCTTAACTACATCAATAAAGTGGAGATTCTCTTAAGTCAGCCTCTGTCATATTAATTTACGTTTTCCTACGGAACTATTTCGCCTTACCATGTGAAATTACCGAATAACTAGGCGTTAAATCCTAGGTAGGGGACCCGGGATTCGCACAGTACCGGCTGAAGGCAGCAGATTAGCTGACAGTGTTCCTTCTAGTATTCATAGGATGTTACGTAATAATCGGTAGTGAGTATATCAGGGATCACCTACATGAGCTCTAAGTTCGAGTTATGCTCACCCATCTGACAACTGCACTAAAAATTGCCTTCTCTATCGGTGTGACAGTGTTCTGTTAACATTTAATAACAGGAACAATCAGAGAAGTACTTCTTGGGAATCTTCTGTGTGGAGGCTCTACTGAAAATAACTGCACTCGGTTTCGTCCTTAACGAAGGGGCCTATCTGCGGAGCATTTGGAACATTCTGGACTTTATTGTTGTCGTGACTGGGTAAGACTGCATGACAGTTACCTAATTGGAATCATTCTAGTGCCCGAGTTTTGAATTGTTTAAAAACATTTAGGTTGAATTCAATGCAACCCGCTTATCGAAGTTCCACTAATCTCCTAATCGGAAAGGAAATACTTTATTGAATATATTATTCTAACCTGCACTATGACTTTTACCTGACAGAGGAAGTATTTTATGTTTTATTTTATTAGTAGTTTTATATCTTCAAAGATTTGTAAGTGAATGAAATTACAGGAAATTATCGTGTGACAGTTCTTTGATGGTATTTCAACGTTATACAACTCATGGTAAAAAGTTCTGATTGGAATGGACGACCTGACTTTTTAAAGCCTTTTTAGTGAACGCGAGTTCGTGATTCTAGCAAATTTAGCACACACCCGGTAACTCAAAAGAACAGCAGAGTATGAACAGGCGAGCGTGGAATTTTCAGCACATGACGCCTGTGGTACAAAATATATTAAAGTACAATTGTTAAATTTAGATTGAAATACTTTATCAATTCTGCAACCTTTCCCGTCATGAACTGCAGCAGAAAATTAATTTCACTCACTATTCTTTATCTCAGTATTTATTCAAAGTGCAGACACGATGTTACCTAATTAAATTAAAAGTTCAAAATTCTGACATTTGGCCATGGATATAGGGAATATGCAGCTATATTCAGTGGCGCGCTTAAATATTTTTTCCTACTTCCATCAAATGTGTATTAAAGCTTTGTTGTTTTAATGTTTCAGTGCCTCAAAACAGAGTTGGCCCCATCATATGATCACATAGGAGAAGCAGGCAGTTAAGAAACTCTAGAGAACATGACTTATAGCGAGTAATCCGAAAGTATCACAATTACCACCGTAAAAATATAAACTTAACTATATACATAGTCAGAAACTAGACTTTTGAAGCACATCGCCGATCACTTCAAACTGCATTCGGCCACATGCATAGTCAGTTGTTAATAAGAACTCGAGAATTTTGGGGAGAATCGGGCACATTATCCTTAACAAGCGCCTAGGGGCGGAGGACGTAGTCTGAATTTATCCAATAAATAAGAATTGCAAATGCGCCTAAAACGCAGGTAAGCAAAAATACCCTTGCAAGAAGAAAAGAGGCATTTAATCGGTTTTTGCATTTTCGAATGTCTGCTGAGGCCGCCAGAAAAATTACTAAAAGGCATATGACCAGGATCGACTACCCTATATTTAAGATTTTACTCGCGGTATGGAGGGAATTCGCTAAGTTAACGCCCTCGACTGTTTTCAAAGAAAAGCAATTTGATACAATTAAAAATGTTTTCCCTGATAGCTGATTCTTATCGCCTATACGATATGTAGGTGCTGACACTGTTGCTAGAAAAGGGTCTGGTTGAGACGATCCCTTTGCCGAAAATTCAAACTCGAATTTACCGACAGTTAAAATTTAATATGGTCACGTGCATACTATTCTATGATAATTAACAAGGAACTGTTGTCGTCCTGGGACGCAACAATAACAAAACGCTATAAAGCAGCTTAGGTAAAAAAAACGTAATATATGGAACAATGCTCTGGAATAATAATTGTGAAGAAAGGGAAAGGCATCTGCTTACAGTTATGGCAAAGGGTTCAGCCAGGGATATTTACGTGCCTCCGTCTGCAGCTATTTTTTTCCAGTTTCCAGTGCTTCAAGCTGATAAATGTAGGCCCCGGGTGCTCGTATGAAGTCTTCTCAACTTCAGTCGTCTGCCGTAGGGTGTTGTCAGTATCAAATCTTATCTGACTTGTCTCGGAGAATGGTAGATAAACACCCGTAGTCTTAAGATAAATTAGGAAATACCGCATTTCACCGAATCTAAGTCACTATACAAAAGCTTGTACGTGATGTTTCTGTAGCAATATAATTTTTTAAATATTTATGTCCTATAATTCTGCAGTCAAAAACGATAGTTTACTGATTATTTGAGCGTTCAATTTGGAGTTTTTCAGACGTGTAATGAACATAGCAAAGGTTTACACAATCACTAGGAAGTATAACGTACTAGCCGAGTAAGAGTTATGCCAGCTGAAGCATACTTTGATTTGTGTGCTTAATTGTACATATCAGTAAGGCTTTTGCTGATAATTTATTTTTGAGCAAAATTCAGCAGGTGGAACTCAAGTAAAAAATGCATGATCTTCACATGTGGGAATGTTTGCAACCGAGAAGAAGCAGATTCGATCGCTGGGAAAACACTTTCATTCGCCTGACGTTTCAGCATCGGTTGCGGATTCTTCATCAGAGACATGAGCAGAAAGCAGTAAGAGAAACGGATATAGCTTTCTGCTCATGTCTCTGATGAAATGTCCGCGACGAATACCAAAACGGCAGACGAATAATTTTTTTGTCCCAGTGATCGAATCTTTTTCCTCTCAATTACTTTCTTGGGCTCGCCTGTTTGCTTGTATTGGCAATGTTTGCAACTTTTTATAAGTTCTTCTGTAAACTATAGGCTTACTCGCAGTTAAGACTGCAAGAGTACAACATAGACAAGTTGCTAAGTGCTTTGTAAACTGATGGACAATTCACAGCAGAGTAGAAATTGGCAAGCCATTTTTCTTAAATGAGGTATTGTCGAATAGCTCATGCAACTTTTAACTTTATTCTCGAAAACAGCTCAGGCGATGCACTCTAGAAATGTATTTGCACAAAACTGCAGCCGTCTGTTTAGAGCTAACAAAAGTAATTTTCGAATCAGCATGCAATTATCTGTACGGTAAAACATGGACTGGAATTTAAACGAAGTTACGTCAACCTAACAGCTTACCAGCCACTATTGTATAGTTTTAGGCTCCTTGCTTTGTACAAAGGTTTTCCATCATACCATTGATAACTCTGCCAATATCTTTTTGATCAAGGTGCCGACTTAAGCCTAAACAAGTTTGTTCATTTCATGTAGACTGCTCGCTTACATCCTCCCCAACCTCAACCAACCGGCCCTTCGTGCACTGAGAGTCCTGCGGCCTTTAAAACTGGTAACAGGATTTGAAAGTAAGCCGATTGACGTCGATTTATTGTTTCCGCTTCGAATTATTTAGGCAGCGCCATTCTCTTACTCTTCGAGGACGGTTCATCTTGCCCAACTATTAAGTAGAATTTTAATTTTATGTAGTGTCCTTTAGCCTAAAATGTTACAGACATTTGATTTCACGCGTCTTATAATTTGTAACAGCCATAATTATCAGACTTATAGTTTTGCTTTACCGTCTCCCGGCGTAGAACATCAAAGCTGAGATGATGCGGATGCGTTCTTGTGGACTTTGCTTGCAGAATGCAAAGTATCAGTGGAAAATTTGACACAAAGTTGGATACATACTGATGAAGTTTTGTCCGGCTAGCATCCCTCCATTCTATAGTTTTGAAGTTCCTATTGAGTGACTGTAGGGAACCAAAGCAATCAGAACTCTCCCATACAATCAAAATATATGCTTGTGCCCATTCTGGCCTACGTTGGTTTTAAAAATTCAGTAGTGCCTATGAATTTTACTGAACATTTTAATTGAGCTATCACACGAAAATATTACTAGCATCCTCATGGATGCAAATTCATTAACAAAGCCAGCGCCAGCTTCAATATGAGACATGGCAGATCCGGCTTGCCGGAGATGCTTTCTTTGACCTATTTACATTCTGTATGTTCTGTTTTAAAGGCATTCTAATTTGTATGAGATTCCGGAGTGTTTTCGACTTGATATACCAATTTTAGGCAGTTCGGTCTTTTAGAATCCATAGGTCATGCAATTTTACACGCGATCGTGTGCAGCCTTCCAGCATCAACAGAAAATCGGCAGATTCTAACAGCGATTACAAGCCATTTTAGTTTAGTCTTAAGAAAGACCTTGTGAATATTTATATCTGATTTGGCAAACGATAAGTACTTGCATACGAGCGGGTGCCAAAAAATAAGAAAAGTATCTTTCGTGAAGTAATTTCCCGCCAAGTACATTTACTTAACATTCTTTCTGCTCAGGCGGCCAAAGTATCGTTCATAGAGAACCATTACAGAGTATAGAGTGATCATTTTATCAAGTTTTAAGGAACAACTCTCCAAAACCAAAGTCTGCTTCCCATTACAGAAAACAACGAAAAAACAGCTTTTCTCATTCGGAAGTTTATTATAAGGAGGCTCTAAACCAGGCAAAATTAACGAATGGTTTGCTTGGTACACGTTCGTGTCACTCCTCCACGTCCAGAACAGACAAGCGTTCAAGATATGCAAAAACATCATAACTTTTGGTAATCTTTGAACAAGCGATAGATCGGAGAAATTTAGTGAAAGTTAATGGACTTCATGCTAAAGAACCCTAATTGAATATTTCAGCATGAGACTGCGCGACGAAGTATGCTCCGCGGCTGCTGAATTTTGGCAATTAGGGGACTGCCTGCCTTATAATTACAAGGTGTCTGTCCAGACAACATTTACCATCAACCAAGTTTGATAAAAAAACGGCGTGACAGCGGTTTATTACTTCCCCTTCCCCTAGCTCCCCCAACCTGGGACCACTTATTCCCAAAAGCAAGAAAAAGCGCAAGGAAAATCCCCTTCAGAACGTTGACAAGCTTATGAAAAAGCGTTGGAGGCACTTAGAAGCATTAGTTCCGGAGGATGAAAAAAATGTTTTTAAGAGGGAAAACCTGTTAAAACAAGTGCATATCATCCACTGGGTAGGAGTTTGACAGCGATTAATGTTTGATAGATATTATCTTCAATAAAAGCATGCAAATAAATAATTCCGGCTGTTTACAACCTTATTCAAGAGTGCAGTCAAACACAGGGTTTGTGAATAACATGCCTTGAATAGCAAAAAAGCATACTAAGTGACGACCTCATCAACTGAAGTGCAGTGCTTGTTTGGCATGAAGGTGAATGAAGATGTCAAATCGTTTGCCCAAAACGGTCACTGATTGTGAAGATTGCGTAAACAGCTGCATTTATTGGATCCATTGATTTCGAGAGTGCTCTTCAGTTGCTGCCTCTCATTGCGTAACGTGAATCCCGTAAGAGAAAATACTAAATTGGATTCATACCGATGAATCGATACAAACTGCAAGGTCATAGGAGACGGCCAAGAGGATAATCAGTATCATAAGAAAGTTAAAACACTGTGAGCAGCAAAAATGGGGAAAACATTGAAGGTAAAAAGTTGGGAAGGGAGATGTTTAAACAGGGAGCCGGTGTTACCAAGGCAGGATTAGGTTCACCACATGCTCCAGCTGTTTACATAGGTTGGGTTTAAACCACCGTATGTAGGCTGCCTCCAGGTAGCGCTAGGTACCAGCTATTCGTGCCCGAACAAATACTCGGAAAGTAGTTTTAGGGTCCATAGAGTGACTCGTATCTGACAAGTGTTCTGTAATGGAAGACCAAAGGGTTCTATTTTCCCGTTTGAATGGCCAACTAGGCAAGTGCTCCTTGGCTCTGCCTGCCAATTGCCGTTGC